CATCAGAGAGTTGGACAATGAACAAGGATGACAAGAAGAATTGATGCTTTTGAGTTGTGTTGGAGAAGAATACTAAACATTCCAGGGGCTGCCAAAAGAACAAACTGATATGTCCTGGAAAGACTGGCCAGAGCGCTCCTTGGAGGCAAGGATGATGAAGCTTTGTCTTTCATACTTTGGAAATGTAGCTTAGATAAGGCTATTCCTTGGAAATGGACATCATGCTTGGAAAGATGGAGGGTCAGAGAAGGAGAAGACTCTCAATGAGATGGATTGACTCTGTGACTTCAACAGTGGGCACTAGCATCTCAGACATGATGAAGATGGCACAGGATAGCGCAAGATTCAGGTTGGCTGTTCATAGAGTCGCTATGAGTTGTACTCGACTCAATGGCACCTAACAACAGCAAGGTGGTGCATATGGTTCAGGGTTTGGTTACTGGCAGAAATGCTGACAGTTCAAATCCACCAAAAGGTACCTTAGAAGAAAGGCCTTGGACTACCATGAGTTGGGATGACATGATGGTAATACATTTACTGTTTGTTGTTGCTACTGTTTGTTATTGGTTACTTGCAACCAGCTGACTCTCCATTGGATTTTCAGAGGCTGTAAATTGCATAGAAAGAGATTGTCTCTTCCTCTCCCATGGAGCATCTGGTAGATTCGAACCAGTAGCCTTTGGGTTGACAGTACAACACTTTACCAGAGAAATTGAGAGTAACACTCAAAAGTTTACACAGAAATTTGCCAGAGTAATTTTATGTTTGCTAAATTGTTTACAGCTTTAGTCTGCTTGGCTCCACAATCAACACTCTTGGCACCAGCAGCCAGGAAATCAAAAGACATATTGCCATGGGAAAGTCTGCTGTTAGGGACCTCTCTAAAGTACTGAAGAGTAATGGTGTCACTCTGGAGACTAAGGTGTGTCTAATACAGGCTATGGTCTTTGCAATCACTTGTTATGCATCAGAGAGTTGGACAATGACTAGGGAGGACAGAAGGAGAATTGATGGCTTTGAGCTGTGGTGTTGGAGAAGAGTATTGAGGGTACCATGGACTGCTAAGAAAACAAACAGATTCATCCTGGAGAGGGTTAAACTGGGCTGCTCCTTGGAGGTAAGGATTCTGAGGCTTTGTCTGACATACTTTGGTCATGTTGTAAGGAGAGACCTGTCCTTGGAGAAGGACATTTTATGCTTGGGAGGGTTGGGGGACAGCATGGGAGGGGAAGGCCCTCTAGGAGGTACACTGATTCAGTGACTAGAGTAATTGGGATGGGTGTGTCAGAGACAGTGAGATTGGCACAGGACAGAGCAGAGGTTAGGGCTATTGTACATAGGGTCGCTATGAGTCGCAAGTGACTCGACGGCATATAACAAAAACAACAAATTTGTAATAATAGTAAAAAAATTGGGGCTTGCATTTTGAATGTGGTTTGTTTTTTCAAGCATTCTTTTCTTTTCCCAGTAATTCACTGTTGTTTTTTCCAAAGTCCCAAATGAAATTAGGTAAAAACTCTTCAGCATGAACTGTGGGGAACCTTGGCCTCCCATGCACATACGAACACATGAGTGCCTCACCCACACTCTCATGTTCTGCGCTGCCCTCTTCACCCCTCCCACACTTCCACATGTCCTCTTGCTCCCTTGATATGAGTGAGGCCTGGATGACCACTGGGCTGCTGTCCTGGCCTCACCCCACTGAGCTCATGGCTGTGACATCTTTCTCTGGAGCATGTTGTCCCTACCTTCCCCAGCCAGCCCAGCCCTGTCTTGGAAGCAGGACAATTCCATGCCGGCGTCCCTTGGCCTGTCTGCAGTCAGCTCAGTTGGCTGCCTTCACTGCCCTGCCCAGGAGGGGGTTACTCTCACCACGCCCTGGACACTCAGGCCTTTTCACAGAGTGCAGCCCATCCAATCCTTTTTGCTGGTGGTCAGGCCTGTACAGGGGACAATCAGGGACAGGAATCTCACATCCACAAAGACTTTCCATATATGCTTTTGTAGATTTTTCTAACTTAAGTTCTTAGTTTCTGATTTCACAGTCACAGAATTGAAAGCAATTCACTACCAGGCTTGAATTTGGGAGGGAAAAATCCATCTTGTACATTAATTGTTACCAACTTACACACAGAAGGACATAGAATCTACATATTGCAAGAAACCTAGTTAAAAATGGCAAGAGAGGTAAAAACATTCAATCTCAAGAAATGATGTAATGTAATTAAAAAGAGATACATATATTTCTTAAAAATTAAATTGGGCTTTAGTTGGAGGAACATTCTTATTTTTATCTTGTGAATAACTCAACACTGCAGTGTTAAACTATGTGACATTTAATATCACTTATAATTGATATAGTTTATTCTGGCATTCCTTTAATCTGCAGACATTAAGGAGGGTTGCCAGGGGGCATTTCCTCTTCTTCCCCTCAATGTCTCCGGGGAACCACCTCTGCTGGCACTTCCCTTTCTGACGACCCCTTCTCTCAGGAAGACGTGTTGTATGACTTATTAGAGTCTGGTGTGCTGATGTTCTCTGATTCTTTGCCCAGAGCTTGGTCCATAGCAAATGCTAAACATTTTTTTTCTTAAAAATAATTTTTTATTGTTGGAAAATATGCACAGCAAAACACATCAGTCCAATAATTTCTTTCTGTACAATTTGGTGATGCTGATTCCATTCTTTGAGTTGGACACCATTCTCTGTCTCCCTTGCTGAATTGTTCCTATGTTGGCACCCTGCTCCACCCTCAGATTCCCGGCTAACCTTTCTAACTGCTGTTCTCAATCTGATTCTCTTAAAGATAGTTTTTAAAAGGGCACAATGTTCAAAGCAGACAATTTTTACTAATTTAAGCTAAATTGTTTGGCTTCAAGAAAACTTCAGGGAATATGTTTGGTTGAAGATTTAAAGATTCTCTTGGTAAAAATTGGGAGCAAGAGTGGCACCCACTTCCTAAACAACATGCCTCCAGAAACTCTGTGAACTTCGATCAATGTCAATAGTTGTAGAGGGGCTTCAGGCCTTTTGTTCATAGGGTCACTATGAGTCATGCTTGACTCGAAGGCAATCAACAACAACAACAATACTTGGTGAGAAAGTTTGAGGGAATTTATCCAGTCTCATTGACTCCAGAAAGTCTAGATTCCATGAAATTTGGTTTTACTGTGGTTTTTCTCCCTTTTATTTAGGATTTTCTATGGAATCTTTGATAGAAACTCAACAAATATTTCTAATTATGTAAAAAATACACAATCCTCAGGGAACAAATCTCAGACAGAGGCTCCATTCTTTGCAATACTCCATTTCTTCTTCACATTCTACTAGTTTCTAGAATCTTTCACGGAAAGTTCAGACCCTTATCTGCCCACTGGCCAGCAACACAGAATTAATGGTAGTTTAGGTCTTTTAGCACAAGGATAACCATAATTTTTGCCTGAAAGGCATCTTTAATCATCTAGCACTGAGCTAATGTGTATACAGAGCTTTTTCTGGATTCGGTGTAAGGAGTGTTGCAATCAATTAGCAAGGCCTGTCCCCGCAGTGGGAAGGATGAGTCAAAGCATTTGTGTCAGCCCTGATTTAGACATTGCAGAATAGGATACACATAGTTAAGCTTGTACATCTGAAACCAGTCTCAGTGCTTTCTCTGGACAGCATACATTTGCAGTCCCACCCTCCAGGGGTTCCCAAAGTGAGGAAGGAGAAACACTGGTGAAGAAGGTGAGAGTCTGCTGATCAAATCATAAACTCAACAACTCAAGCTCAACTCTTCATCATCCAGTGGGAACCGATTCTTAGCTTCCCCTCCCCCACCCCCACCCCCAGTCATTTCTGGGGCTGTAAATCACACTGGAGGAAATTGTCCATGCTTTTTCCTTGGAGTGAAGAGTAGATTTGAACCATGGGAGAGGCAGTGTAACACTCTGTGGACTACATACACCAGCAGAGCTCCTTTCAAATGACAAAAGAACCCTTAGTTCTGTGCCTGTCCCAGAGGTCAGAACAGCTTGTGAACAGAAAGGACTCTGTATGTGCATTGCCCAGGATGCATCATGCTAGCTCTGAGAGAAGTTGACCAAGAACTACAATTTAACTTCATTTCCATTCAGAACACTGTGTGTTACAATCAACTTGGTGGATTCTAACAACAATAACTACAAGCCCCCTCCCAGAGTTATCAGAATTAAGAAATATAAAGTATTGAAACTAGTGGCTGGTACAAAGTGCCATAGAAGTTTGTGTTGACAGGACAGTCATGTGAAGTAAAGCCATCTGAACATGAGCTAATATTGCTCAAATGGTGTCACATGAAACCCCCATATAAAACAGAACTCTTTTCCTGGAAAAGATTCTTAAGGTAAAATAAATTTGGTAAATGCCTTATAATATCCTATTCACATCCAGCTCTGACAAGTCTTTGGTAAAGAAATCTGTCTAAGTTTATTTAGTTTATTGCTTTCTGAACCTTTCAGATTGTGGGACCCTGTGAACCTGGTGGGAGTGTTCCACAGGATTCCAGTTTGGAAAGTGCTGTGAGGGAAGGCAGTGGTGAAATCTCTGAATGCACAGGAGGGTTTTCCAGAGAGGTCCTAGGAACAAGAGGGGGGTCCAGAGGTCCTGAGGAGGTGGCCAAAGCCCAGAGTGAGAGGAGGCAGCGTTGTGCGTGGGGGTCCCTATAGCGGGAAAATTGTGTGTGAGGGGCTCCTAAAGGGAAAGGAGAATGGAAAGGGCTAGAGAGCTATTTAAATATGGAGGCAAGATAGGCAGAGGCAGATATGACCTGAGAATTTACAACTTGAGAGGTAGAAAATGGAGCAGGAAGAGGTCCTGGAGTAGAGGGTATTCCTTCATTTGCTCATGCATCTCAACTCCCTCTCCCCTTTCCATTTGTGTGCTTGAGGCCAGAGACTTCTCATAGGAGAAACCTGGACATGAGAGGGGCGAGGTGCAGCTGCTTCCATGAGGCGCAAAGACGCTCTGTCCCTCTGTCTGGGCTACGTACAGGTTGTGTGGTTGTAAAACTGACAGCAGTTACTCAGGGCCCCTGCAGTGAAGTTGAGGCTGGTGCTGCAAAGAAAGCAAAAGCTGTGACTGGAGTTCAGCCAGAGGCTCACAGACCGGGAGCAAGCTGTGCAACCCAGGGAAGACCGTTCAGCATCTCTGGTCCAGCCTCTGCTCCCAGGTTTGGTCTGCAAGGCCCTACTTCTTTCTCCCCTTACTGGAGCAGTTGTACTCACATTTCAGCCCTTGTAATCATGCCAAAGTCATCCCCCAAGCACGTGTCCCAGTGGGTGCCACCCACAGCCCAGGCCCTCACCTCTGGAAGGCCTCCTGGCAGCACTGGTACACCTCAAAGCTGCTGCTGCTGAGGGTCGTGTTCAGGAGGGACACACAGTCAACCTCAGCCCCTCGGGGCACATAGAGAATCCCTGTGGAGAGAAAGCAGCTGTCATGTGGGACCTTCTTTCTGGTTGCTGTCCCCACGGCCTCCCAGTGGGAGCAGAACCCCACACCCAGATGTGGACCAGGGCCAGGCCAGTACTCACCTGCCACACAGGCGTTCACCAAGGACACACAGGCCCCCGTGAAAAGTGCCCGCAGCACAATCTTGGAGAAGTCACCTTTCCGCTGGGGGGCCATGGAGGCTGCAAGGAATAGGAGGCTCAAGGTCAAGGGGGCGGCGTGCCTCTGCCCATCCTGGGGCTCTGGCCATGTCTGCTAACAGCCCCTGCTCTTATGGGGGTTTAGATGAGCAGACGTTGTCCCTCTTGACTTAGCTGGCCGAGTTTGGGATCCCTCTTTGGCCTGATTCAGGCCACCTCAGACTACATCAGTGGCTGATGGAGGGCAAGGGACGTGAGTTAGAATCCAGGCAGACCAGGATTAAGTACAGATTCAGCTGTGTAGCTGGGCCCACTGCTTTACCACTCTTAGACTCAGCTTCTTTCTCTGTAAAATTGTAGCACCGGGCAGGGTGATGGCAAGGCACGGGCAGTGTTTTCTGTGAAGAGCTGAGGCAATGTACAGTGCTGACCTGCCTCTCCATGGGGGTGTCCTGCAGGCCAAAGCCTCTGGGGGACAGACCAGCATCATACCAAATCATCCACCCACCTAGCCCCCTGAGCTAGGCCCGGCCTAAAAGGTCAAGACGCTAATCTCTCAGACTCCCCTTAATCATGTCATCCCACAGCTGTCATGTTTCCTGACTCATGGCAGCCCTCTGTCACAAAGCAGAAGTGCCCCATGGGATTTCCAAAGCTGTATTCCTTTACAGAAGCAGACAACTCATGGAATTCCAGGACGGGGCGGGCGGCCTCCAGGGCCTGATTGCTCAGCCTCTTTCTTAGACATATGGGACAACTGAGGCCTGCACATCCCTGGTAAAGTCGTATCAGAGTCAGGACGGATGTCCAGGTTGCTGATTCCCCAGGAGGCTGGGTAGGCCCCGTAGGACTCACTCAGGCCTCCTAGCATGATCCCAATGGAGCTGAAGTTGGCAAATCCACAGAGGGCAAACGTGGTGAGGATTTCTGCTCTGACCTGGAAACACAGAGGAGTGGGGAGTGGTTTCCCTCAGATAGTGTGGGAGTCCCTTACCACACCCAGGGCCCCTAATCTCAGTTTTATCCCTTCCTCTGTGTCTGTAGGGAGCTCTGGTGGAATTAAAAACCAGTTGTACTGTTAATCCAAAAGCTGAACATCTCTGGAGTTCAAATCCTCCTCCAGCGACTACCAGGGAGAAGGATGGACTATCTCTTCCCATTAAGATTTACAGCCTCGTGGGGAGCTCTGGTGGCCTAGTGGCAAGAAGCTGCACTGCAATCCCAGAGATAAGTGGTTTGAATCCACCAGATGCTGTGCCGGAGAAGGAGGGGCCATCTCCTCCTGTACCAGTCAGATCCAATTTGACGGTACACACACAGAAAATAAAAAAAAAAAAAAATATTTACAGCCTCGGGGGCTTTAGTGGCCTAGAGACAAAAAGCTGCGATTCAGTCCCCAAAGGTGAGCAATTCCAATCCACCAGATGCTCTGCTGGAGAAGGAGGGGCAATTTCCTCCTGTGCCAGTTGGATCCGATTTAATGGCACACAAAAAGAAAAGAAAAGAGGAGGGAAAAAAACTGGTTTACAGCCTCAGAAATTCGATGGGGGTGGGGCACTATGAGTACGAACTGAATTGATGGCAGTGAGTTTTGAGTTACATGCCCTTGACCTTTGAACCCCTCTGTGCTGACGACTTCTAAACACCCAGTGCCCTCACATAGATTCTGACTCCCAGCGACCCTCTAGGACAGAGTAAACTGTTTCCAAAGCTGTGATCTTTACGACACCAAATCAACAAGGCTCTTCTCCATGGAGTGACTTCAAACCACTGGTTCATTGTCAAGAGCAACCATACAGAGTTAACTTGAGGGTGCTGTGAAGCTGAACACTGTGACACTGATGTGTCAAATGTGAGAATGGTTACCCATGGTTGACATACACTTCCATAATAGCTTGCCTCCAGAAACCCTATGAACCTGGAGAGAGGATGAAAGTCACATAAGTGTTGAGGACTTTCGTTCATAGAGTCACTATGAGTCACCTACGACTCAATGGCCTTAACAACAACAGCACCAGTCAAGAGCACCACCTATAAGCTGACTCACATTGTATCACCTCAAGAGCTCAGCCCTTCTAACTCTCATATATATAACCTCTTAATCATCAGCCTTCTGTGTATTAATCAGATTACTCTGTCCTCCTTGGCCCAACTAAGCTTTGTACTCATTGGGCGCTTATGAATGGCCTCTTCACCTCAATTCTGTCCTTTCAGGAATTCTATCTGCTCTTTTGCTCACACTGAGAGCCAGTGAAGGGTCCTCAAGCCAGGGAGGAGGGCATGCTGGGAAAGGAGCCTGACCCAGCGGGTCCCATGGTGCCTACACCCACCACCAGCTTTAGTTTCTCCATTCAGAAGGTGGAAATAAGAATCATTCCTGCTCAGCAGAGCTGTTCTGAAAATCAGATAGCCTGTGGGAGGTACCAGGCACTGAAAAGGTGCTTTGATGAGGTGGTTCTCCTTTCCTTTTGCCCTAAAGGGTTTTTTCATTTTTCAGAGAGAACAGCTGTAGATGTTGAGCCAAAATGGAACAATTTACAGATGTGAGGACGATATTGGCTTAGTTATATACCCCATGCTATATATTAAATTAATTATAGATGACTCAAATAGATAACTATGAATATTATAAACAATAATTAATACAAAATACAGAACATCAGTAATACAGTTGTTCCTATCAGCACACATGTTCAGAGAGGCTAAGTAATGGGGAAGCTCACACAGCAAGTAGGTGTGTCAGAATTTGAACTCAATTTTGACTCCAAAGCTCATGTTCTTAATGACTTCACCAAATTGTTTTAATAATTTAATGCTTAAAAGACTCTGGAATGGAGTAGTTTTCTAAGCATAGAAATGATGGGGGCTGGTGTCATGAAGGAAAAGAGTTGGTGTCAAACTTGTATTAAAAAATGCATGCCTTAAAAAAAAAAGATATGTGCCTTAAAGTAGTTGGCTTGAAAATCCCTAGCTCTAAGGGAGATGCAAATCAAAACAACTATGAGATACCATCTCACCCCAGTCAGAATAGCAAAATTTAACAGAACAGCAAGCAACAAATGCTGGTGAGGTTGTGGAGAAACTGGAACCCTTATTCCCTGTTGGTTAAAGTGTAAAATGGTGCAACCACTGTGGAAAATGGTGTGGCATTTTCTCAGAGATACCATTTGACCCAGCAATTCCACTACTGGGAATATACCCCAAAGAGACCATAACTGACATCCAAGCAGATATATGCACACCCATGTTTATCACGGCTTAGTTCACAATAGCAAGGAGTTGGGAACAACCTAGTGCTCATCAACAAATGAATGGATAGAGAAGCTGTGGTATACTCCATAATGGAATATTGTGGCGCATTAAAAAACAAAGAACTCATGCAATATTATTAAAAATGGGTGACCCTGAAAGACATTATGCTGAGTGAAATAGTCACACAGGGACAAATACTGCATAGTGCCATTGTTGTAGAATGGGACTGACATCAGGGTTGGGGTAACAATGAGAAAAACTGGGTAGATTATGTATACTGCATTGAAACAGCTGAGGGAGAGAACAGTTTAAAAGTGATGTATGATAGGGTATTATGGTTATCACAAGAGTCCAGAATGAAGGTTGCATAGTGGAGTGTACTCGGGGTGGGGGGATTGCATACCAATGAAGGAATTTTTCTTTTACTTTTCAAACAGAAGAGTGAACTGGGGGTGGGGGGGGGCAATGGTGGGCAGGGAGAAAAGTGCAACAATGAATGAATGAATGGAAATCCAAAATCTCTGTAAATGCTCATTAAAATGAATAAAATTTTTTAAAAACTATCCCAACCTGTTCACAGGAGAAGGGAAAAAAAGGTAATTGGCTTGAGTGCTTTCACAAAAGTAGTTCATGAAAGCAGTCATTGGTGGGGTGATTGTAAGGAGAAACTCCCCCTACCCACTATATAAATGGATGAAATGTAAGAGAAATTAAGGACTATATGCAACACAGTGTACATATGTGAAACACAATATATATGAACAACAGAAATACATGTCTATATGGGGGGAAAGAACTATGAAAAAGACATGTAGAAAATATAACAAAAAACAGTTCTTTTTTTAATGACATATATAAAAAAGTGGGAAAATATTGAGGCTTACATCTATGCCAGTGTGTTCCCTATGATCATACCCCATATAACAGCCTGAGTGAATTTATTCAAAAGTAATATGTCAAATCTTCGTGAACTTACTGTTGTTTCTTTGTGTCACTCACGATCAGAGACGGCATTCCCAGTAAGCAAAGAAAGCACAAATATGCTTACTTATCTATTATGATTAATTAGCTGGTCATGGTAAGCAAGCCCGGCTCTGCTTTGTTTCCTGAATTCTCTGTCAGGGAGTATACATTTGTAAAAAGGCTTTGATTCTGTAGGAAGGTGCTGTGAGGTTGGGAGAAATGTCAGTCATACCTCACAGCAAAATTTTTATTGTGGTAAAAAAAAATAATAATGTAGACTTGCTCCTTACAGATTAGTAAGTAAGCCTGTGCTTACATAGTTGCTGGGTAGTCAGAAACTGCTCTTCTATTTACTCTTAACAATTCAAATAACTCATTGTGGAGGCAGACCTGACTCATACCATTGCATATTCAAAGGATGTAAATCACATGGGAGGAATTGCCCATTTTTCTCCCATGAAGCAGCTGGTGGATTTGAGCTGCCTGCCTTTGAATTGGCTGTTTAACTTCTTACCCACTAGAGCTCAGCACTCCCATTTACTCTAGTCTCAGCTGATTGTAGAACAGACCATCAACTACTCATAACTCCGATACAAGTTCAAATTAAAGCTAAAGAAGATTAAATCATATCATATGAATAAAAATTTGATCCTATTCCCTCTGAATTTAAAAACCAACTCAGGAATTGGTTTGAGGCCTTGAACACTAATTAAGAAGATCAGATGAGTTGTGGGAAGATATCAAGAATATAATTTATGAAGAAATCAAAAAGTAATTACAAAGAATGGAGAAGAAGAAAGACCAAAATTGAATGTTGGAAGAGACTCTGAATATTGCATTAGAGCACTGAGAAGCCAAAGCAAAGGGGAAAAAAATCAAGACGTTAAGGAGCTGACTAGAAGGTTTCGAAGGGCAGCTCAGGAAGACAAGGCTAAGTATTATAATGAAACATGCAAGCAGCTAGAGTCAGAAAACCAAAAGGGCTGAACTTGCTCAGCATTTCTTAAATTGAAGGATCTGAAGAACAAATCCAAGCTGAGAGTTGCAATGTTTAAGGATGCTACGGGCAGAACATTGAAGGATTCAGGAAGCATTCAAAGAAGATGAAAGGAGTACACAGAGTCATTACAACAAAAAGAATTCTCTGGCACAGAATAATTTCAAAAAACAACATATGATCAAGAGGCAGGGTGATGAAGGAGGAAGTTCATGCTGCTCTGAAGGACTTGGGGGGGAAAAAATAAAGCCCCAGAAATTGATTGAATATCAATCAATGTATTTCAACAGATGCTACCCTGGATGTGCTTACTAAGTTGTGCCAAGAAGTCTGGAGAACTCGACCAACTGACTGGAAGAAAAGATGAACTGACAGAGTGTGGAAATTATTGAACAATATCACTAATATCACACACTAGTAAAATCCTGCTGAAGATTATCCAGAAATGACTGGAACAGAGAACTACCAGAAATACAAACTGGGTTTAGAAGAGGTCATAGCACTAGAGACATTATTGCCAGTGTCAGATGGCTCTTGGCAGAAAGCAATGAGTGTCAGAGGAATGTCTATCTGTGTTTCATTGACTATGTAAAGGCATTTGAATTGTGGCTAATCTTGAGGAAAATAGAAATCCTGGAACACTTGATGGTGCTTATGTGAATCCTATACTTGGACCAGGAAGCAGTCCTCAGAACAGAGCAGGGAAGCACTGCCTGGCTCAAAATCAGGAAAGGAGTGTGGCAGGGATGCATCCTATCTCCACATCTTTATAATCTATATGCAGAACCAATAACTTAGGAAGCAGGACTTTATGAAGAGGAATGTGGCATCAGGATTGGAGAAAGACTCATAAATAATCTACATTATGCAGATGACACAACCTTGCTTGCTGAAAGTGACGAGGGCCTGAAACACTTGCTGCAGAAGGTCAAGGACTATATAGTCTTTGATACAGATTGAAGCTTAACATTAAGAAGACAGTTGGCAGCACCGTGATAGATGGAGAAGAGATTGAGGTTGTTAACAATTACAGCTTGCTCGGCTCCACAAATAAAACTCTTAACATCATCAGTCAGGAAATAAAAAGAAAAATTACATTGGGAAAATCTTGCATTGGTTGTCAGAGACCTCTCCAGAGTGCTGAAAAGCAACTAGAGACTACGGAGTGTCTGATTAAGGCCATGGTTTTTGCAATTTCTTGTTATGCTTCACAGAGTTGGACAAAGACTAAGGATGACAGAAGAAGAATCGATGCCTTCTGGAGAAGAGTCTTGAAAACACCATGGACTACCAAGAAAACAAATAGGTCTGTCTTGGAGAGGATGAAACCCATTTTCTCCTTGGTGCCTAGAATTTTGAAGCTCTGTAATACATACTTTGGGCATGTGGCCAGAGAGACTGGTCCCAGAGAAGGACATCATGCTCAGAAGGGTGAAGGGAGAGCACAGGAGAGGAAGACCCTGGATAAGATGGATCAGTACAGTAACTGGGGTAATGAGGGTTGGTGTGTCAGAATTAGTGAGTCTGGCTCAGGAAAAGGAAGGGTTCAGAGCTGCTATGGGTCACAGTCAATTCGATGGCACATAACAATAACAATATCCCTTCTCTCAGTTCTCTGTTTAGACTAAGCTCCTTTCCACCTCAGGGCCTTTGCATGTGCTCCTTCCTCTTCCTGGCATATCCCTTCCCAGCTTCTCCTGTCTGGCCCCTTCCTTTTGCTACAAGTCTTGGCCCAGATGCTGCACCCAAGAGAAGACATTTCTGATCAGCTCAGGCAAAGAAGGCCCCCTTTCATTTTTCTCTGGGTTATTTCCTTCCTTCATAGAAATTACTAAAATTTGTGGTTATTTCCCCCCCCACCTTGATATCTTTTGTTTTGCCTATTGTCTCTTACTAGCTATAAATTCTGTGAGTCCAGGAAGGTGGTGAAATGTAATGTGGTTCAGGTGCTGGGTACCTGTAATTGTTTGCACAAATACTTGCTGAAGGAATTCACAGACAGGTAAGATCAGAGGTGAGGATAAGGAGTAAGGGGTGTGTGTTATACTCATGCAAACTTATTTGAAACAAAGGAAATACATTTCATTATGATTTGAAAGATAATTTAAAAGACAAGGGAAAAGATTTAGTGTTCAAAGTTCCTAGCAACCCAAGAAATGAAAATTAAAACAATGAACTAATATTTGTCCATTGAGGTTGCAAATTTTAAAAAAGGGGTGGGGAATTAAGACTTCTTAGTGTTATTTAGTGTTTGGAGGAACAAATAGTCACAGGCCCAGCTGGTGGCAATTTCAGCTGCTCGAACCCTTTGGAAAAGTTACTGGCAACAACTACATCAGGAGTCCTGCCACGGGCTCCAGTCAGCCCGCATCTGGGAAGGCGCCTAATGAAATGATCCAAGAGGTGGGAGAGCTCTGGGCACAGAGATACTCATTTCAGCTTTGTGCACAACAGTCCAATTGGCTAGCCTGATTGGTTCAACAGCAGGGAACTGGTCAAATATGCTAGGATTCATGTACTGGAAATGCGTTAATATATTAGGACGCTTATGTTATAATGCACACTTGCGTGTCATAATGAAAAAAATCCACTGGCATGGAGTCACTCCTGAATCATAGCAAACCCTATTAGACATAGTAGAACTACAGTTTAGGATTTCTAAGACTGAATCCTTTTGATTGCAGATGATCTCATTGTACCCCATTGAGCAGCTGGTGGATTTGAACTACCAACCTTTTTGGTTAGCAGCCCAATGCCTTAACCACTATGCCAATGATTGCTGTGTCATAATATTAAGGGGAGGAGGTGGGAAGGAAGAGCTGGCTATGGTGCAGTGTGGATTTTATCAAAACAACTGTATGAATGCCCTTTAAAAGAATCAAAGAAAATGTATCAAATGAAAACATTTTTCTTTTTCTCTCCTAAATTTTTAGTAATGTTATCAAGATGTTTTGTGGGTTTTTTCCCCCCCAAAAGCCCAAAGTCACTGCCATGAAGCAGGACCTGTCCCTTTCACTGGATTTCTGAAGTTGTAAATCTCATGGGAGAAGGTTGTCCATCTTTCTCTCAAGAAGCTGCCAGTGGATTCAAACTGCCAGAGAGGCACATGTCCCTACACCGCCAGAGTGTTGCTATTTTAGAAAAGTCAGTTTTGTAGCACTTTCATGGTTGTTTTAAAAATAAATTTAACAGAAAAAGTGGACCCATGAGACCCATGAGTGGAATCTAGATTACAACACTGAACATTACGGTGAGTTCTCCCACACTCACTCTTCACTCATGAGAGCTCATCCCCATTCCTCTGGGGTAGACATGGCAGGGGTTGCATCCTTGTTTTCCACTAGAAGAGATGATGTGCAGTGGCTGGCCATGGTCACCCAAAGAGAAGTATCCCATCTATAGTTAGACCTGAGAGGCCCGGAAAAAACCAGCAAAGTCTGGGCCATCTTGTTTTTCAAAAGGATAGAAGTGAGAGGTGAAGCAGCCAGGCCCTCAGGGTGTCTGAGCCAGGCCTTTGGAACTTGGACAATAGCTGCCCAGGGGCCCCAGGAGTGGCTGTGTCAGTCCTCCACTGTAGGGAGGGGACAGGGACACTCACGGAGATCCACTGTTTGGTGCCACCGACCCACTCCTCGGTCCCAGCCAGCCGGCGCTGCTTATACTTGGAAAGCTCCTGGTAGGCCACAAACTCATTCAGAAACAGCTTCATCCCCAGCAGCTCGGCCACCACTGCGCAGTCCTCCCAGGCCACGCCCATCATGAAGGCCACAGGCCGCAGGATGTAGGAGCAGATGAGCTGAAGGTAGAGGAGCAAAAGCAGGACCTGGGACCCAGGGCTGAGCTTGGGCACTTCAGACTCTGCGTATAACCACCATATAGTCATGTGCACTGCATGCCCACCACCTACCCACAACCATCCTCTCCACCATGGGCTGAGGTGGCCCTGGGAAACCTAACCTGGAAGCTGAGCCCTTGGATGTCCACCATGTCGCCCAGCCAGGAGAGGGCAGCATTGATGAAGGCCAGCACTGCTAGGAATGCAATCAGGTTGGCTGCAATGTTGGCAACGACCTTCACCGAAATGGCAGCCCCGCTGCTGGCTGCTTCTAAGAGGTTCTGTGCGTCTCTGTAGTTGGGATGAAGAACAATCCTTACTAGCCCACACCCACAAACAGCCAGGCTTCCTTCCTATAGGCCCAAAGAGGAACCTTAGGTAAAAAGCATTGCAGTCTTTATTTTCCCTCTGAGGACCAAACTGAGAAAGCTAATCTTAATCCTTGGATTAGACCCTTATTTCTACCACTGCTTCGTCCAATTCAGAAACCATTAGCCACCTATGACTTTTGGGCCCTTTGATATTGATCTGAATGGAGATGTATTGTAAGCAGAGGACATTACCCAATAAGTAAGGCATGCACAGGTCCAATTGTGACTTCCCAGTCTGGAGCGCACAATTTTACCTGCCCCACCTCAACAAAGATGTGGTAACACCATATCATAGTGCTCACTGCAGATTAGCAAGTAAACACAAGTAAGCCCTGAGTGCATTGCTCAGTGCAAATCAGCGCATACTAAGCTTCCTGGTAAAATGGTCCCAATTTTAAGTATAAAAAGCAGAATTTGGATAAAAAAAAATAAAATATTCAATGCATAATTTTATATATTATTATAAAGGAGCTCTGTGGGAGAAAGAATAAAAAATCTCCTCCCATAAAGATTATAGTTAAAAAAAAAAAAAAAGCCCTGTGTGGTAATTCTATTTAGTCACTCAGGTTCTGAGGCAGAATCAGCTCAGTGTCAATCTCTCCCACCACCAGTGGATTATTGTTGCTATGCACCAAGTCAGAACCTACTCATAGTTGACCTCCTTTTGAAGGCAGTAAATCGCACAGGAGGAGAATGCCCATCTTTCTCCGAGCAGAGCAGCTAGTGCATTTGAACTACCTGCCTTTGGGTGGCTACACAACTCCTAAACTAGAGTTTGGTATTATCACAGGCTGACACTGTGGTACACTGGGTTAAATGCGATTTACTGCTAAAATGAATTTCTCTTGCTTCTTTTTACTTATTTGAGACAGCTATTAGGAAATTGAAAACAAAAGGCATAGTTCACATTATATTTCTACAGAACAAATACAATGCTGTAAGCTTTCAGAAGTCGTGGAATCTGGGATGTCCATGTGTCTCCAAGTCCATTTTCCAGAGGGGGTGTCTTTTCAACTTAAAAAAAAATTATTTGCATTTCATTTTATGCTGAATTTTCTCCTGAATCTCATAGTTTCTTCTGGGATATCTTTTTATTTTCTACAAGCTTCTTTTCTGGTTTAGAAACAATAAGTTCCTTTCAGGAAAGATTGTGTCTGTGCGGCAGGGGCTCATGTCTGGGTTCATCCAATCATGGTCTCTGTATGCACCACTATGCATCTTAGGAGCTTTGTTCACCTGGATGTGCTCAATAGCCAGAGAATCTACAGCAAAAACCTTGCACTCAGTATTACTCTGCATTTTACATGCAACAAAATTCCAGTCCTCTTTTTGGGCTGCCATGACCAACCCCACTGGTTGGCCTGGACACACCTGCCAACTCCACCACTAATGTTAGAAAATGCACATTACTTCTGCAAAAGGAGTGCCTTTCAGATACCTCATGGCTTTCTGGGTATGCTATTCCTGATTTGGGGAAGCCGTAGTGGTAAGAAGCTGTACTGCATCCTGAAAACACGTGGTTTGCATCTACCAATGGCTCCAGGGGAGAAAGATGAGCAATCAACTCCTATGTGATTTACTGCCTCTGAAAATGTGCTGGAGGGTCAGCTAGGGGTCAGTTCTGACTCTACATAAAAACATCCCTGACTCCTGGGTAGCTTTCCGAGTATTCTTAAAATAAACCTGGTGGGTTTTTTTTAATTTTAAATTGATTTTAATGAAAGTTTACAGAGTCTTTGGATTTCCATCCATTCACTGTTGCACTTTTCTCCCTGCCCACCCCTCCCCTCATTCACTTGAGTTTCCTGAGTCAGAAGAGTAGAGACCCATTCGGTGAGAATATCTCAGGTCCCTATGGGAAGAACTTTTCTACATTTTTTAAGATGAAATGGGATACAGCTGTCATTAAGATGCTGGTGAAGAGATGTTAGAGAAGGCAGATGGAATCAAGGAGAGGCTCAATATGTAGGGGCACACGATTGTGAGAAGAACTCCCACCTTGTGGAGAAGTGACCCAGGGCCTTCATGTCACCCTCCTCAGCACACAGCCTTGACTAGCCCACTGTTGCCTGCTAGTCAGAAACCAGAGATTAAGATGGATGAATTGGAGTCAATGTTTTTGAAAGGGAAACACGACCAGGGCAGCAAGAGGAGAGGTGGCTCTGGGTTTGGGCAAAGAAATGAGTCCCACAGCTCCCTCTACCTCTGCTCCAGCCTCCCCACTCCCTCCCTCTGCCGGCCTTCCCACTGCACTCACCCGTAGGTCAGCTTCACCCCTTCCTCACTCCTGAACTTGGACTCTTCCACCTCAGGGTAGACCAGCTTGGAGAGGGCCAGCGCACAAGGAGCAGCCATCACGGAAGCAGCGATCAGGGAGGCAGCATCAATCTGCAAAACAGGGCAAAGGCTCTCAGGGGGCCGCTGCTCATTGCCATCAAGTCACCGCTGACCCTCCAATGGGTTTCCAAGACCATAAAGCACATGGGATCTTCTATGGAGCAGCTGGTGGACTTGAACTGCCAGAAAGGCACATCCTTTGGGTTAGCAGCATCTACAGACAATGCACCAGGGCTCCCTACAGGGAGACAGGCCAGGGCATCAGGGGGACATGTGTACTCTGCTCCACTGTCATGTAATCACCATCACTACTGTTGTTGTTGTTATTGATAATAATATGTCACATGTGTGACTCTACAGTCACAGCTGTATATTTATAAGCTTATATTCCCCCCTCTAATTTTTCTATAACTTAGGGTCTTGTTAGTCCCATTTTACAGATAGGTAAACTGAGACCCAAGAGACCTAATAGAGTAGAGTATAATTAACGCAGGATAAAGAAGAGAAGGCATTAGAGCCCATGGTACCTGGATATCTTGGACTGAGGTTTGCCAATTGACTTGTCTCTACCTTGGTGGCCCAGCTTCCGCTGGGGATCTTGAATCTTGGGGCTGTCCTTCCGCTAGCCAGGACCCTTTTCCCCCCTCTAGCTTGGAGATGGCACCTGGTTTACAAACTCCAGTTCCACAGGGAGTACACTCTGCAGCTTCACCCTGAATGAAGAGAACTTCGCCTCTCGGACTCGCCCTCAGGTCCCAACTCTTGTACAATTCATCAAGTCGACTCCCTCAAGCTCACCCTGCACAATATGCTCAGTGAACAATCCAAGATACACATCTGGGTCTCCTCTCATGGTAGCCTCTTGAGCTAAATGGTTCAGTCATGCGACCTGTGGGGACTCAGGTGCCCATAGGCCAAGGGAAGAACCTTCCAATACAAACACACTGTGAGTCACATATGGAATTTTAAAATTTCCAGGAGCTATATTGGAAAAGTCAAAAGAATTAGGTGAAGTTAACTTGAAAAAAATTTTTTTATTTAAACTAGTGTGTCCACAATATTATCTCTTGACCATATCATCATTATAAAAGTACTAATGAAATATTTTAAACTTTCCTCTCTATATTAAGTTTGTCTTGGAAAGGGTATAGCTGGAGTGCTCTTTGGAGGCAAGAATGATGAGCTTCACCTCACATACTTTGAACATGCTGCTAGGAGGGGCTATTCCATGGAGAGGGACATTATGCTAGGAAGGGTGGAGGGTCGACGAAGGAGAGAAAGACCCTCGACCAGGTCAACTGACATGGTGACTGTTGCATTGGGCTCTTGTGTGTCAGGAAGTATGAAGTTGGTGCAGGATAGAACAGGGTTCAGATCTTTTGTTCATAGGGTTGCTATGAGTTGTACTAGACACGATGACACTTAACAACAACAACAACATATTAAGCTTCGTGGCACATCTCTTTCAGGCATGTCACATTTCAAGTGTCATTGCCCACATGTAGTACTGTATCAGACAGCAAAGGTTGAGAAGAGAAGTATCAGAATATTAGCAACAGGAGTAGGGCCAGGCAAGAGGAGCCAGACGTTGAGTAATGGAGAAATAAAGCTTTGGAAATGTGTGAGCTTGTAAGAAAGAACAAAAGGACTGGAGAGCACAACCAAAGACACTTGTGAGGAACACACCCATTAAAGACAAGCCTGCAGAGGCTGATGGGAGAGGTTTGTAGGGCCCATGCAGTGGCAGTGGCAGCCAAGAGCCAGGTGGGGGCAGAAGAGAGCTTCTCTGGAGGCCAGACTTGAGGCTGATCTGGAAGTTGGTTAAGAAGTTAGGATGTGTTTGGTTCTTTCAACCTGGGCCGCCTAGGCTGGTAATGTAGGGCTTTCAAACTAGGGGACTGAGCTTTGAAAACATCCAAATCCTTCAACTAATTGTAAACCAGTGCTGGTATTAAAAGTCAAAGGCAGACTACATAGGAAGGAAAATGGAACTTTTGAACTTGGAGCCAAAGATACCACAGGTTCGAATTCCTTTTCATCCTGGGTGAGCCATATTTGATTACTTGGGCCTCCATTTTCTTTTCTGCAAAATGAGAATAACAATCCCGGTCCTGTCTAATTTACAGAAGAACAGGGGGAAATAGGCATTTTTGTCTATATACCTGCTACTCTTCACATATACAAGATGGTAATAACAATAATGACAGAAATTAAGATGATGATGCCATAACAGTGGACAAAGCATTTGTCCCCTGCTTCTCCGGATGCCTCTGCATTGTAGAGTCCATGATGCTAGAGGGATGTGGACACCCAGACCCCTTCACATGGGAGCCACACCTGCCTGGGGCAGAGATTGCTCTCTGGTCTGAAAGAAGGAAGGAGGAGAGACTGAATTCCTAAACAGCATTCTGCCAGTGTTTTAGTTCCTGGAAGCAGGGTTAGAAATAAAATGTCTTTAATAATTTTGGGATGAACATTGTTTAAGTGGTACAGCAGTGGTCTATTTACTATGCTGAAGTAACTTGGAGTTGCTATGATGCTGAACACTGTGCTATAGGGTGTCAAATACCATAATTGTTACCCATCATGCACAGTCTGGAGAAGTTCCCAGATTGATTTAGGTTTGGAAGCAGGAGCGGCATCCACTTCCTAAACTACATGCCTCTGGAAATTCTATGAACATAGAGAAATGATGTTAGTTATAGAACAGGCTCCAGGCCTTTTGTTCATAGGGTAGCTATGCGTCGTGCTCGACTTGACAGCAGTCAACAACAATAACAGTGTTTTGCGTGGCTATAGGATTCATAGCAAGTTAAAGACATTTAAAGGTCTTTTTTTTTCCTTTAAAGGTCTTAAGTCCTGAATAAGGAACCCTGGTATCGCACCAGTTAAGTATTCAGCTGATAAATGAGAGGTGGGTAGTTCAAACCCACTTAGTGTTTCCAAGGGAGAAAAACATGGCAATCTGATCTGCAAACATAATAGCCTAGAAAAGTCCACAGGACTGTTGTACTCTGTTATGTAAGGTCTCAATGAGTCAACCTTGATTCTATGGAAACTAAACAATAATAATAGGTCATGAATATTATGGCCACTCTTCTTCCCCTGATAAGCTTATTGTCATGTGATGCGGAATTGATTCCAGCTCACAGCCACTCTCTTAGATGCTTCATTTAATCCTGACGGGAGCAGATTATGAGGTCTTTTCTCTATGGGTCTATTAGTGGATTCAAACTGCTGCTCTTTCAGTTAGCAGCTGAACTACCATTGAGCTACCAGACCTCCTTCCCACGCTCATAACTCCAACTCCTCACCATCCAGTCAGAACCAACTCATAGCTGGCCCTCCAGTGGTTTTCATGAGGCTGTAAATCAAACATGAGGAAGCCCTCTCTCTTGGGCTGGCAGCACCCCTCTCAACAGACTGTACCCTCTGAACTCCCTTCCTCTCCTGTTAAGTAGAGAAAAATAGAATTAATATTCAACAGTTAAGAAAGTCTCAGGAACAAAGTTTGATTTTCCATTTTTTAAAAAAATCTTAATTTTCTAGAAACAATGTGGGGAGCACTAGCTCTGGGAAGCACATCCTAGGCCTTTAGTGAAACAAAGTTTAATGATCTCAAAAGTTCTGGACGGGAGGTGCTGGGCCAAAAGGTAAAGGCCTGAGTGCAAGGGAAAGTCTTAGAGTGCCCAGGGGCCTGAGGAGCCCTGTGGGGATGTGGGCAGAGAAGATGGCCTGGCCAAGTGTCTGAGAGAAAGCAGACTGAGGTGCTGCCTGGCTTAATCTGTCCTCAGCCACCTTGCTGCCCTTGAGGACAGAGAGGGGAGAGAGTAGAATCCAGGACCTGTAATTAGTTGCCAATGAATCAGCTTGGGCTCAAGGAATCCATCAGGAATCTTCTGTGGCCACCGGATACAAAGATTCCTAGTGTTTCAACTCAGCACGCACCGTTCAGTACCGGGTAATTTAATATCCCCACTTTACAGGTGGGGGAATTGAGGTTCAGAGAGAGTGGGTGGCCTGCCCAGACATGAGTCCACAGATGTGAGTTTGTCACTACAATGTCGCCCCAAGTCTTTAACTTGCGGGTGGGGGGGGCGGGATTTGTCCTAGTCTCCTCCCACCCTGCACTCTCCCCACTGCGCTCCTGTGCTGGGGGGAGGGGGGTTTAAAGCCCCTCCCTCCTTTGTTCCCAAAGGATTGCTTGAGCAACTTTCTGAGGGCAATGTGCTTCTAGATCAAATTCCAGTGGAAAGAGTCAGGCCTGTAAATCAACCACAATCCTACCCAGGACAGGCACAGTTGAATCTTCAAATGTATCCCTACAAAGCCAAACGCCTAACGTATTGCTGACTAGTTGGTTACAACTCACTGTGACCCCCGTGACCACATGTGCTGCAGAGTAGAACTGCTCCAAGTGTTTTCTCAGCCTTAATCTTTACGGAAGCCAATCACCAGGCCTTTCTTCCACAGTGCTGCTGGGAAGGTTGAACCTTCAAACTTTAGGTTAGCAGACAAGGTCAAACCACTTGTGCTAGCCAGGGACCTTCTTCCTTACCCAGTGCCTGGGAATAATGGTTCACATCTTGAAAACATTTGTGTATATTTGTGCTACCATCTGCAAATCTTCCTTCAAAGATTTTGGACCCCCCCTTTTTTTTAACTGCCACAGAAATTCTTGCACAAGTGAATAAAATTAAAAAACTAACACCAAACAGAACCTCGGACTTTCTTCCTCAGTTTTACTCCCAGCAGGTGATTATAGTTTAGACCAGTGGTTTCTAAGCGTGGTACCCAGACTAGCAGCATTGGTATCATTTGTGGACTTGTCGGAGATGCAGAGATTCACTGAATCACAAGTTCTGATGCAGGCCCAGCATTTGGGTTTTAACAAACCTTTCAGGTAGGTGATGGAGATGCTAAGATGAATCTGAGAACTACTGATTTATGCTATTGTGGAGTTTTTGGTCTATGTGGTTGTTTAAGTCAATATATATGCACATAAAAGTTTCCCTCTATTTTCCCTCTTGACTTTCTTAATGAGATAGATTGACACAGAAACTGTAATAATAGTCTTGCACTTAGTAGGGAGAATGAAGATGAAGCAGGGTTGTGCAGAGGTCCTAATTGCTGTTCATGGGGTCATAGTTATGTCACAGCAACTAAGAATATGTGTCTGTGTGCGTGTGTCTGTATGTACATGCTGGTGGTGGTGGTGTGTGCCATCAATTTGGAACCAACTCATAGCTGGCCCTCCAGTGGAATTCCAGAGGCGTTAATTGCATGGGAGGAGCTTGCCCATCCTTCTCTGTGAAGCAGCTGGTGGGTTTGAACTTTTGGGATAGCTGTGCAGCTTCTTAGCCCAGCCCACCATATTTATAGTTATAGTTATAGTTTTATAGTTATAGTTACAGTTATTTTTATTTTTATTGATATTTAGATTTAGATTTAGACACATGTATTGCTTTCTTTTCCCCCAAAATAAGGTAGTTCTAGCTCTACTTTCCTGCAACTTCCTTCTTGTGACAGACATCCTGAGCATGACATTCAGAAGCATGAAGGAAAAGTTGACAAGACCAAGTAATTAAAAAAACCAACCCCTGTGTGGCCAAAGTCTTGCATGAACCCGTGAAGCTGGAAGCTGTACTACTGGTATTTCAAATACCGAGAGAGTCCCCATGGTGGATAGGTTTCAGTGGAGCTTCCAGACAGAAACAGAGTAGAAAAGAATGCCTGGCAGTCCACTTCTGCAAATGGGTCAATGAAAACCCTATGGATCACAAAGTAATATTGTCTAGTACAGAGATGAGTCCCCAAGATTGGGCAAAAAGCTGTCACAGCTGTGCACAGTGACTCACGGTGACCTGCCCGTGGGTTTCTAAGACTGTGAATCCCAATGGGAGAAGACTGCATTTTCTCCCTCAGAGTCACCGGCAGATTCCAACCACTGGAGGTGCTTGGACTTTGCATTAGGCATGCAATGCCCTGTGGACCAGACCACTGATCTCCCACCTAGACTGGAAGACCCTCTAGATACAATGGCTTTAACCATGGATATCAGCTCGCCAGTGACCCCGTAGATGGCACAGGACCAGGGAGTGTTTTCCTCAGCTGCCTGACTCAGGTAAGATTTCCTCTTGTATCACAGCAGCCAGCTCAGTCCACAGCCCACCTAGGAGGCCCCATGTGTCTCCGGCCAGGAGCTATCTGGGGCTCTATAACCGTTGTCCTGGCCCAGCAGAGAAAGGACTCCACATACCCCGAACGAGATGTAGGCGCCCAGCAGGCTGCCAGCGATGGTGGCATAGCCTCCAGTCATGATGACGTGGATCTCTGAGAGCGTCATGTCTGCCAGGTAGGGCCGGATCAGGAGAGGAGCCTCGGTCTGCAAATGGGAAGGACATCAGATACCAAAGCTGGCCAGGTCAGAGACATCCCCCCCTGGAGGAGGACAGACAAGTGCAAGGGCATCCCAGGGGCCGGGGCCGGCCACGGTCCATACTAGGCTGTGTCTTTACAACTCTCAGTCTGCTTCAGAAAGGAACGTCATGCATCCCCTAGGTCTGGCAGGGCCCTCTAGGGTTTAGCACCCCTCCTTTTCAGGCCCCCTACTAGGTGCTTCATATATACATGGTTCCCAGCCTTTTAAGATGGTCGTGGTCATACCCATTTTCCAGAAGTGCAAACAGAGGCTCAGAGAGATTCAAAGAATTACCCCAGCTCACACAAAGGATGGCGGGGAGCAAGTCTAACTCCAGATCTGACCTGATGAAGCATGGGGGTTGTCAAGCTATCTAGGACTTTAGAGGTTGTGTTAACTTCAGGGCTTCTGAGGAAACCTGGAGCCATTCACTCACTCAGTTAGTAGTTACTGAGGCTCTGCTATGTGCCAGGCACTACATAGAGATACAGGGGTGAAGTAGGTCAAGTCCTCACCCCCATGGAACTCACATCCTGGGAGTGGTGAGGGGAGAAGTTGAGAAGTGGGGCAGGGGCCCAGAAAACAGATCATCAACCAGAAAACAAGCAAATAATGTAACATTCTCTCTCTTACTTCCTAATCAGAACTGATTCATAGCTCACCCACCAAAGGGTTTTCAGAGGCTATAAATCACACAGGAGGAGATTGTCTTTCTTTCTCCGTCACAGCAGCTGATGGATTCGAACTGCCTGCCTTAGGGTTGGCAGTGCAGCTCCCTACCCACTAGGCCAACAGAGCTCCCTTGGGAGACAATAGCAGTGCTGAAAACTGGGGAGAAAGTATGCACAGAGAAGGAAAAAGAACACAGGCCTATCAGTAACTAGAGGTTGAAATGCTGCTGCTAGGCCTTGAAGGCCCCATCCCCTCTCTGGGGCTGGGGGAAAGAGATCAAGACCCAGGGGTCTAAGGCCACCTGACAAACAATTTGTCTAATACTCAGTCATCTTATGAACTCTTCAAGTCCCTCAAAGTCACAGTCACTGAGAATTGAGTGTTTTCTCAGCATGAGAGAATGCTAGAAGTGTGCACATACATGTACACACACCTAGGCACTCACAAAACAGCACATTATATTTCATATAAAATAAGTGCTTTTGTATTTCCATCCTCCTTTTCCACCTTTGCCTCACTTTGGAACACTTTCATGGATTTACTTTTACTTTTAACACTATTCATACCTATGTCTGCTTTAATTGATTAAAAAGCTAAAATAAATGGAAATGTTCAATAACCAACACATTTGCCCCACAGGGGGAAAAAAAAGTTGAACATATTCTTCAAAGTGTCAGAAACTCTAATCAGATGTGAGGGACATCTTTTGACAAGTGTGTCTCTTGGTTACTCAAATGTCAGGCAGATGAGACAGGATGGATCCTGGGAGAAGTGCCAGCGACTCATCCGGGCCTTCTGAAAGGGACTCGGGCCCAAGAGTGCTGTCAGAGTCACATTTACTTTGGAAAGTGCAGTTTTAAATAGAGAGGGAAGAAAGAACTATGTGCACAGGAACTTTAAAGAGCATGCCTCTGGAAACTCTATGAACTTTGATAAATGACGATATATAGGCTTCAGGCCTTTTGTTCATAGGGTCACTATGAGCCATGCTCAACTTGACGGCAATCAACAACAACAACAGAATCTTAGCCAAGAAGAAGAGAGGAAGCCAACTCTAACCCCGGCTTCCAAGGATGATACTTTGGACAAGTGATTTACAGTCTACAAGCCTTAGTTTCCTCATGTAAAATGAGAAAGTTTGGCTGTTCCTGTAGGTCTGATGAGTCTCTGATGGTATAATCCATAAGGAGTTGTGCTGTCAGCTCAAAAGTGGAGCTATTGTGGCAGTTCGAATCCAGCAGCAGCCCTGTGGAGGAAAGATAGGCAATCTTCTCCAGGGTGACTTAGAGCCTCTGAAAACCCACCAGAGCGTCAGTTCTGAATAGGTTCCAACTGGACAGCGATGGGTAAGTGAAAATGATGAAGCCTAGAATAATCAAAGATACCTGATAACAATCAAAGACACCTATTTCCCTGGCACAAGCAAGCACAGTGCATCCCAAAGCATCCATGGGACCGCCTTCGATGACCTGGGAGAAGGTTCAGAGGGCCCATCCTGAATCTCAGCCCAGGAGAAGCCAGGGCTTGCCACCTTCACCAGGATGCTGTTGATGAACATGAGAGCAGGCGTCCAGCACCCACCTGGCTCACAAAGATGTTCCCAGCCACACTAAGGGTCTCTGTGGCCGTGGTGCCCATGGTGACCTGCATCAGCCAGGCAATCTAGAAGGAAACAGAGTGCTCTTGTGAGTTGGTATCACTAAGCTCCAGAGTCCCACAGAGATAGAACTAGAAGTACTAAGCCCCTCCTCCCTGACTCCCAGCCCAGCCTCACCTGTATTTCCCCAGAGGTCCTACACCCTCTCTTCCTGCACCTCTACTGTCAGGGGCTTATCATCCCCAAGGTGTCCTTTCTCTTGAAGATGGATCCAGTCACCACAGCAGATCTTCTAAAACATGTCTTTCATACTAAAAAGGTTTCCTGGTCAAATGTATTCGAGGGTTTCTGTATATACTGCCCTGGTGTGCATACCAGTGCACATGAGCTTAGGAAAGGCTCTGAGAAGTACTGCACAAAAGAAACTTGTTTACATTTCTTTAGCCTAATGTTTAGTGTCGGGAGCTCTGGTGGTCTAGTGGCTAGTAGCTGCGCTGCAATCCTGAAGGCATGTGGTTCGAGACCACCAGCTGTTCCACAGGAGAGAAGGATGGGTAATCTCCTGTGTGATTAACTGCCTCTAAAAACCTGCTGGAGGGTCAGCTATGGGTCGGTTCTGACTTGAAGATACATAACAATAACAACAACGTTTAGTGTTTTCACAAAGTTCCTAGGGTCCCTATGAGTCAAAGTCCACTGACAGCATCTAACAACAATTAGTAATTTTTTTTTAAAAAATATGACAACAGAATACCTTTATCTGGAAAAAAAAAAGAATACCTTATCTGGTAGCATTTATTAACATGCTGTAGAACTAAAGTTTTGTGAAAAAAGCCTTTAGAAACACTGTATTAGAAGTTCTTCCTTTGAATCAAGAGGCAACTTGGATCCTTGGAATTTCTGCCCACTGTTGAGAACTTTCAGCTAGCCCTTTATCTCATCTCTCTTCTGTTAGAGGTTGAAAACAGCTATCCTGCTCATGGGAGTTTTGGTAGTGAAGTCTGTAGGGAGTTGTGCTGCTAACCCAACAGTGGTGGTTCAAATCCACCATTGCATTCTCCTCTCATGTGATTTACAGGCCCCTGAAAACCCTCTGGAGGGCAGCTAGGAGTTGATTCAAACTCAATGGCGATGAAAGGTTTGGAGATTCTGTCCGTACAGGGGGTTGCCTGGGAGGTGCAAAAGGTTAACATGCTTAGTTGCTACTTGGAAACTTAGGGTCTGAGTTTCCAGTGGGGAACTTGGAAGCAAGTTCTGGCCATTAAAAATCATCCAGAACACTTATACATTGTTGGTGGGACCGTAAAATGGTACAACCACTCTGGAAGGCAATTTGGCGCATCCTCAGAAAGCTGAACATAGAAATTCCATATGACCCAGCTATTCTACTGCTTGGAATATATCCTGATAGAATGAGAACTGAGGCACAAATGGAGACTTGTATACCAATGTTCATAGCAGCGTTACTCACCGTCACAAGAACATGCAAACAGCCCAGATGTCCAACCACAACTGAATGGATTTGAGAAATTATGGTACATTCACATAATGGAATACTGCGCAGCATGAAGGAGCAATAATTTTGTAAAGATTACCACCTAACTTGGGAGGGACTGGAGAGAATTATGCTAAGTGAACTCTGTCCCATAAGGACAAATACTGTATAAGAACATTATTGTAGAATGAGTTTGAGGATCCAAGGGGGAGAATGGGGGAGCAGAGGGGTGAGGATGAGGGTTGGTTAATCATAGGGTCATTCAATTTGATGAGTGGAGGATGAAGGTGAAGGGAATGGAAAAGATCCAGTGTGAAAAACAATGTATACAGATTTGTAAATAAATCAGTATAAAATAAAAAAAAATAAAATTAAACAACTGAAAAAACAAACCCACAACAAAGAACCTTCATCCAGAGCCCAGTTCTGCTGACATGCATGGGGTCACTAAATGTTGGAACTGGCTGATGACAAGCAGCTCCTGCACCACAGCCCTCTCTGGTCCAGGCTGTACTCCCTTCAGCATCCTATGATGGGGGTCATTTCAAGTCCTTCCACTCCCCTGGTTATACTTCAGCTTACCATAGCTCCTTAGTTAAATGATGTTTTTCAGATTGGGGACATTTTCCTCCCTAATGTCATGCACCATATACTTTGACCTGTGCATTTGTAACTTACTGGTGTTGGCTTATTCTGAGTTCAGCTAAAACCTCAAAGTCTTGTTAGGTTCAATGCCATTCGGAGCGGCCTCCTACATCCAGGTTTTATGCAGCAGATTTTATGAGTGTAAGCCCAGAATTTGACATTTGTATTAGCTAAATCTGGCCAATGTAACTTGCTGTTACAGTCTCACAAAATCTTTTTTGGAATACATCTTTTCCTCCTAACACTTCTTTTCAGCATAGCCTCTGGTCCCTAACTTTCCCTCCCACAAGGACCCTACTGAATTTTGGTGCCATTTCTCCTTAGTATCATAACAGGAGACTATGAATGGGTGTACAATAGAATCTGGGAGGGTGTAGACCCTACAAGCAAGGGATTTCCAAAAGGAATGGATCATAGGAGCAAAGGACTCTAGATGGGTCCAGAACCTGGCAGAATCCTAGGAGTAAGGTTTTCTGGGAGGGTATAAGCCCTGGACGCAAAGGACTCTGGAAAGGTATTGATGGGAGCAAGGCATTTGATGAAACAGGACATATTTGAAGAACGTGGGCCCTGGAAGCAAGGGATTTTAGAAGAGCCAAGGCCATGGTCATTAGGAACTCACCTTCAGAATCACCCACTGCATGAGGCCTACATAGTAGAGAACCGACATGACACAGCTGAAGAAAACGATGATGGGCAAGACCTGTCAGGGAAGAAAGCATAAAGATGCCGAGTTAGCGGCAAGCTAGTAGGAGGTCTCTATAGATCCCAGGGCATACACGATAGCTCTGAGATGTTGCCTCTCAGAACTCTGAGAGGATGAGGGAGGCAGCTCTTAGGTCAGTGCATGAAGTCACAGGTGTCTCATACACTGGTGTCTTCTCTGTTCCCTTGAAAGAATGGCCACCCACTGAGTCATCCCCCTGTCTCCCTTCACCACAGAGAAGGTACAAAAAGCAGACCTGAATCCACATGACAAGTGTCTATTCACTTGCTTATGAGATGCAGGTAAAAATACCTACTCACGGTTGGTGTGAGGGTAAAGAATTGACTCAAGAAGCACCTTGCACAGTGTCCACTCTCCTCATTGAGTTCAGTTCCTACTCTACGTCTCACCTGGCCTCTCAGGCTCTGGGCCCGAGTGAGGGGACCCTCCTCTTTCCAGCCTATCACTTTTACTCAGTGCCAACAAACTTAGCATTGACTCACCATGGGCCTGCAACCAGCCCTCCTGCCATTCACTCAGTGTCACCAGGGAAACACTCTTCATTTATTCCCAGCTGCATGCCTTCTTCCCTTACAGCCTCTCCCACTTCCATTTCCTGCTCACCAGGCCCATGACCCTTGTTGTTACTGTTGTATGCCATCAAGTCAAAACCAACCTGTAGCTGACCCTCCAGCTGGTTTCCAGAGACAATTAATCACATGGGAGGAGATTACCCATCCTTCTCCCTCAGAGCAGCTGGTGGATTCGAACCACGTGCCTTTGGGATTGCAGTGCAGATTCTTATCCCTAGGCCACCAAAGCTCCCTACTGGTGCTTATTTACTGCCATTTTACTTACAATAACAAAGTCCAATTGCCACTGCCACATCTTTCCACCGAGGGGTACTTTAACCTGGCATCGCCTTTAATGGAGGATGAGTAATCTCTTCCTGTACCTTTTACAGCCTCTGAAAATCTGCTGGAGGGTCAGCAATGAGTCAGTTCCAACTTGATGGCACACAATAATAATAAAAGAGTCACAAAACAGCAACAAGGACATTCTCTGTGGAATGAATCTCTGGGTTGTATAAATAATGTGCTCAGTTGCTCTTTGAACAGATGAAGGTCTGGATCTATCCCAGAATGCCTTGGAATAAAGGCCTAGCAATCTTCTTTAACAACAACAAAAAACCTCAGCTGTTCTATAGGGACAGACTTTCAAATCCTCATGGATTCCACACTTTCTGGAGCTGGAGAGGTTGAATGAACGCCTGAAGTCTTCTTAAAAACAAACAACATTTCAGCTTAACTTGTTGTGTTGTTGTTGACTGCCATTGACTTGAGGTCAACTCATAGTGACTCTGTGAACAAAAGACCTAATGCCTTTCCATAGCTATCATTGTTTCTCCAAGTTCATAGAGTTTCCAGAGGCATGTGGTTTAAGAAGTGGATGCCACTCCTGCTTCCCAACCTGTTTACAACTGGGAGCTCCACCAAACACTGTCCACAGTGGAAAACCATTCTGATATTTGATAGCCCCATGGCACAAGATTCAGCATCATAGTAAACCCAGGTTTCCTCATATAATAACATTGACAAAGAGTGATGTGTAAAGTGGAAGAGTGTTCCTCCAGATATAACAGCTCTAGTCTCATTAAGCAGTGGTTAAGTGCTGTCGAGTCGAATATGACTCAGAGTAAGTTCAGCTTAACTAGTAAAAAAAAGAATAAAAATGAAAATGTCTGCCTTGAGCATTGTGGCACACTGTGACAGCACATGTGTTTCCTTTGGTCTTGCTCCTGCTTAGAGAATTCTAAGAGGCAGACCGAGTTCTTTCTACCTGCTTCTGACCTCATCAGTCTAAGCTGATGTACTTTCTGCTACACTGGCTGGTTAAAGCCACCAGTCAGAGCTTAATTACTTTGACAAAAAGTGCATCCTTGGTGAGTGTCCTAGGCCCTTATTTTTTACAACAGAATTTCCCAATTAAGGTCTGTTTTCCTTTTGCATAGTCTGTTCTTTAGTTCATCTCTTTCCTCTTGCATTTTACTGAAACAGGAAGGAGAGACCACACAGGCGTTCAAGATTTAGTTTAGAAATCTTCTCACTGGTGAGGTTGTGGAGAAACTGGAACACTTATTCACTGTTGGTGGGAGTGTAACATGGGGCAACCACTATGGAAGGCAGTATGGCACTTTCTCAAAAAGTTGCAAATAGAGATACCATTTGACCCAGCAATTCCACTACTGGAATATACCCCAAA